TATGACTCATCCAATTACACTAGTTTTCACTCGACGTGGATGGCGCCAATGATCTGCATTGGATGGCGCACTGAGCCTCGGATCTCTGCAGCTCCTCCGTAGTTAGCTGCTCTCCTTTTCTAGCTATTTCCATGCCCCTCAGGGGATTTTTCAGTTAGGTTGTTTGTTTTGACTGATGGTTATTTTGCTCCTCTGCAGAAACTGTTGCCGTGGCGAGCAGCTGTCAGCGCATCCACTAAGGCTCCTTACCTGGGGGGTTTCCCTCCCTCCCTCTTTACCGTACAGAAGGTGGGTTTCATGCTGACTCAGCCGCAGTTTTTCCATCTGATCAGTAATGCAGCAATAAAAGTTCCTTACCAGCTCAGAGGTGGAGCTTCCCATCAGAATCTGTGTTTTCTAGAGTGTCTTTGAACGTGTCTCTGTGGGTCTCCTCAGGATCACTTCAGCAAGCCACCATGGTGCTGGCCGACCTGGGACGGAAGATCACCTCGGCGCTGAGGTCACTCAGCAATGCCACCATCATCAATGAAGAGGTAGGCTACAGCGGCAGCACCAAGGATTGTATAGAAGGTGTAGCGGCTCCTAGAGATGGAGCTGTAGTTTCTGCTCAGGTTGATAGTAGTCCTGTTGCTGACAGGGTGAGGAGAATCTTCCTGGTGTTTTGACGATCCGCCTTGAGGTGTTGAATTTAAGCTTCCCACAGATCCTTAAGTCTTGAAAGGCATTGAATCCTCGAGTCCTTAACTGTAAAATGTCTTTCATAGGTCTTAAAATTGTTATCATGTCATAAACAGGATTTATTTGTGTAATCTACATCAAACATTAAAATCATTGATAATAATTTATTTCCATTTGCGAACGGCTCGCTGGAAATTTTATTGGTTGATAGAAGAACCACTAAAAATGATGATGAAGGTGAACTTTGTGGCAATGCAGCGCTAAACGTGGGGAAGTATAAATTCAATGAACATTGTCCATCCAGCTAAGAGTTTTCTGCATGGCTAAAAACCAGGGACTGTAGGTGAGGCATGATGGGAATCAAGGCAGCAGAGTCACACATGCGAAGCGTCAAAAGTGAATAAGAAGCTGCAGGTATTTCTCGGTTCTGTTCCTCCCTTTTCTCTCCGACGCCGCCACAGCTTCTCCCACATCAACAACAGCAGCAGTAACATCTAACCTCTGGATAATGTTTGGAGGTTCGCCTTCAATGAAGGCAGAGCTACTGAAGACTTTTAAGTAGGAAACCAAACAAAGTTAATGAATTCAGTTCAGTAGTTGTTAGAAATAGATCTGTTACATGTGTGTTTTTAGCTTCTTCCTCTATGGAAAGTTTTTCAACATTTAAAACCTTTCTACTTGGCCAGAAAGTAACGGTTTATGTATTTGTGTATTCAAAAGTCGTAGCTGAGACCAGTAGCCTGACGTAGTCCGACTCAATTCTAGTCAGAATATGAGTCTGATACTGCTCCATAGAGCTGTGATTATGGGGCGTGTTTTGAACGAACCAGGAAAAAAAATGCCTCTGCACTCAATTGGATAGACCTACAACCAATAAGAGCAACGGAGTGCGTGACGTA